AATTTTTGCTTTGGGGCTCCCACTTAATGTTCCACTCTGCAAAGCGGTGTTCAGTTCCATTGAAATTCTTCACCAAGTCAACACAAATTTCAATGTGGAAATGAGTGTGTGGAGACATTTCTGATGTATTATTATTATTATTATTTTGCTCTTGGCTGAAAACACAGTCAGACCTTTGTGCAGAATGTGGATTCTGAAAGACCATTGAATGCCGGTTGGGAGAATCTTTAAGGCATCTCAGGGGAACAGTTAGCACAAATACAGCACATGCCAACTTGCCTTGAGGCTGGGAAGGCTGAAGCTTTCTCTGTAGCACCCCCACTCTTCCTACATACTAACCCTGAGAGGATCTGGAAGGCACATCCCGTTGGCTGGTACAGGAGGCTTATTCCATTCATCCATCGAACAAATATTTGTTGAGCGTCTGCTAGTGCCAAACCTATTCTAGGTGCCAAGGATATAGCAGTGAACAAAAATAGGCAACAATCCTTCCTGACATAGAATTCCCTTTTCCTCAGGTTGGTTGAATATTGGTATTTTGTTCTCTCTGACTGTATGTGTGTGTGAATTATGTAAATATATCTTAGATTTTATATATAGATCTTAGATTTCTTAGATTGATATAAAATAACATGTAATAAAATTTAAATATATTGACATATTGTATTAGTCTGTAATCACGCTGCTAATAAAGACATACCTGAGACTGGATAATTTATAAAGGAAAGATGTTTAATTGACTCACAGTTCCACATGGCTGGGGAGGCCTCACAATCATGGCAGAAGGTGAGTGAGCAACAAAATCACATCTTATGTGGCAGCAGGCAACAGGGCGCGTGCAGGGAAACTCCCCTTTACAAAACCAGTAGATCTCCTGAGACTTATTCACTATCACGAGAACAGCATGGGAAAAACCTGCCTTCATGATTCCATTACTTCCCATCAGGTCCCTCCCAAGACATGTAGGGATTATTACAATTCAATGTGAGATTTGGGTGGAGACACAGAGCCAAACCTTATCACATATAAATAATATATGAATAAAAATATATAATTATACATTCTTAGATTGTGTGTTCCAAGAAGGCAGGGGTTGGATTCATCCAATTATCTTTGTACAAGCCCAGAATGATACCATTCAT